GAGTAAGTGCTGCTTCATGGTACTGTCTACAGAAGCTTAAACTGTTTTACAGATAATTGAAAGTAGACCAATGAGGTGAAAACTGGCCGGATTAAATGTGTCTTCCTTTCTTGGGTGACTTTCCACATTATCAGTTAGACGGTGTTTTGCAATTGTACTGTAAGTATGGCTGGGGGTGTGGCCAGCACGACAACCAAAATATTGTGGCTCCATAGCCTTTCCTGTATCCAGTGCCTTCAGCCATTTCTTGATATCATGTGGAGTGAACTAAATTGGCTAACAACTTGCATCTGTGATGCTGGGGACCTCAGGAGTAAACCAAGATGAATCATCCACTTAGCACCTCCAGCTGAACTCAACACCTCCAGCCGAAAATAACTGAAAATACTTCAGCCTTATCTTCTGACATGACAGAACCGCCATCGTTAGTGGTGGGTATGTTATGGACCTTCCACTTCCAGATGGCTGTTTAGTTGCCCACCACAATCCATGACTAGATATAGCAGGACTGCAGAGCTTTGACCTAATTAGTTGGTTGTGGGATCAATTACTTTTGTGTATAAAATGCTTCCATTGTTCAGCACACAGACAGTTCTGACATAGCTTCACCAGGTTGGTACCTCAGTTTTCCAGTGCTTCTCCAGTATCATGGACTCCTATCCACCTCACTGAGTGCAGGTTGGCGTCCATTTGGCTTGATGGTAACAGTAAAGTGAGGGATAAACCATGAGGTTATAGATTATAGTGGAATACAATTCTACTACCGCTGATGGGCACATATTGGTAGTGGTATATAACAAAATGGAGAGTCAGTATCAAAACCAAACTTGTCCCCACAATGACCATGCAGTGGTCACTCCTACACAAATGATAGTGGAAAGGTTGCAGTTACCGGGCACAGTTTTGCTTTCTCTAGATCTTTGGAATTGAACAGACTTGTGCTGGTGGATATGGTTTTTGTGCCAGAGAATCTCCAACATCCTCTCCTCTCTGAACCAAATAAAGACGGAATTCCAGTCAGCCAGTGCACCTTCTGCAAGTTACATGCCAATTCTTTGCCTGGCTTTTGCTGGAAGAAATAGCTTTCAACAGAATCCAAACACAAGATGACTCCTTAGCTCAACTTCCACCAGGATAAACCTTTAACTGTCACGTATAATAACAACAAGCCTTTGCGGCAGAGATAGTAAGAACTGCCGATGCTGGAGTCTGAGATAACACAGTGTGGAGCTGGAGGAACGCAGCAGGCCAGGCACCATCAGAGGAGCAGGAAAGCTGACGTTTTGGATCAGGACCCTTGTTTTTCTGAAGAGCTTTCCTGCTCCTCTGATGCTGCCTGGCCTGCAGTGTTCCTCCAGCTCCACACTGTGTTATCTCTAAGTCTTTGAGGCAGGCTTTTTATTTAAAACATCATAGGTAGTCGTGCATCACTGAAGGACGATCTACACAAATGTCAATACTTTCTTTGAATATGTGCGTTGCTTTCAATAAACATACTGAAGATGGGTTTCAGGACCTTCCTGACGTTGAACAAAGGTTACCTGACATCTGAATCAGCTTCATCCTAAAATGGGAGGAATGCATTGTATAGCACTGAATTTGCAGAAATAAAGTCTAAAAGAGTTAATAAGCCTTCAATGCCACCATAATTGAATTACCCAAAGGCCAAGACAGTGATGAAGAAATTGCAATCAATGCATTAAGAAAACCTAATTTTTTTTTTGTTTCAAGTACAATTAAATAAAATACAGATAATTGAAGATTTGCCCAGAACAACAGCTCTGCATGTCACCAAATGAAGAACTAGTGACCTGGAGAAGGAATCTCTCCAGGTGAATTTTCACACTAAAGATAATGGAGATTCCTAAATGTCTTTTGGAGGCTAACTGGAGGAACCAAGTGTAATTGTACATAGTAAGTCAAAGGTTCAAATGTTTGAGCAATTCTTACACAGTAACTTACCACTAGCCAGTGCGGTTTTCTGAATAACTGGAGAATTCCGATTCTCACTATTGGATGGGTTAAGAGGAACCTACAGCAAAGCAACAAAGACTATTTATTTACCAAATCTCTAACACTAAATTCCTTCTGTAATATGTAAGTAGCATTTCCAATGCCGTCATCTCAGTGAAATTAGACAATTAGTGTTGCAAGAGGTAGTGTATGATGGAGCTATTGCTGCTACAGTGTTTTTGGCCTCACTGGGGGAAGACAGTTTTGTAGCATGAGTTTTGGCACAAACCAGTATTGAATGGGTATCGTAAGTGAAATCTCTCGGTGCTACTTGGAGGAAGACAAGTGGGAACAAAAGGAATAAATGGACTCCAGGAAGCTGGGTAACACCACATGAGGCCGGTGGATTTAAGTGGAGTTATTAGAGACACAGTATACATCTATGCTTCGAGTCATGAGGGAAGCTGTTGCAGAGTAGCATTACATTCTGAAGTTGGCCTGGACCCAAACAATAGACTGGATACTGCCAGTGACTGCAAGATTCACTCACTCCTTACCTTGCACACCATCAGACTTATTGCTGGTATGCTGGACAGTTATCTGCAATAGCTAAGGAGATGACCCTTCTGATAACCAGCTCCCATATGAGAGCTGTCACTTAGCATAAAGTGGATTTGGTGGTTGAGTCACTCCACTCCTGAAGCAGAAGAAAGAAGTGAGAAGCAAAAAAAGAAAGCCCCATGTAATCTTACCAGGTATCACTTCTTCCCAAGTGTATGTAGTACTCTTACCCAAGTTTTTATTTTCTGTCTGTCACTTTTTTCCTCTCCTCTGTCAGCCCTGTAGAAACCTATGATGAGTTTGAATCTTTCTAATGGATGCTAAGAATTTTTATCCCAAATAAACTATTTTAAGTGGCTACATCCCCTTAAATTACACCTACAGTAGGATTCTCTGCTGCCATATTGGATTAGCTTCATACAATTGGACTGTGTTGCATTGCAAATTATGTAAATATGCTGAGTAGAGAAAATTACCAATTACAAATGCACTACAATTATGACTAAACTTACACCAGTTTTTAACTGAACTCAATTGATTGTCACTGGATCACAAATGTCCAGCTCTCAACCAAGTCTTACCTATTTAAATGGTTCAAGGGAATCTGAAAGCTGCTAAGATCATGACATATGTAGTGAAAGTTTATTAATTTAAGCAGCATAATCAGGTATTCACTGTAAATAAGTTTCGTTCTGTCTGCACAATCTGGGACTGAAGTAATGAATACCGAATGCTGAAACCTCATTTGGATTCAATCCCATGTCTGGCACCTCTTGTGTACTACATAGTAAGTCGCATCTTTAAAACATACGGTTTCATTTTCTTTGGCGTGGTACAAACAAGTCCACTACATTAAATAATTTTCTCTTTCCACTCTGTGATTTGGAAAATTCAGTATTTATTGGTATTTTAAATAATTTTATTTTGTTTCTTGCTTCTCCTTACATTTGTCAGGTTACACATCACAGATCCCACCATCTTCTAGGGCCCCATTGAAGAGGCGACAGTTCATGGGTCTGCCTTAATGGTCAGTGTTATTCTACCTGAAAGGGCATCATAGCCAAGTCAAAATCGGTGTTCATCCCAGATGCACCATTTCCGGCATTTTTTAAAAATGAGAAACCACTGGCGACCAATTCTCTTCCTGCCCATTCTGGAGTAATTACAGCCAACAGCAACGCCTAAAATCAGCTAAATTCAACAGAATAGGACCTGCAACAGAAGTTGACACAGTTTGTCGGGAAAGAACTGAAACTAGGCCTGAGCCTGGTTACATTGAGATGGTTAATTTAGAGCTACGGCAGTCCAAGTAAACAGTGGTTTTCAGAGGAGATGTTACTGGAATAAAGTTTAGCTTAGTTTTACATATTTTTGTCCAAAAACATGTCTCAGCACTTTAAGAAGAGAGGGGAAACTGGGAAAAATATTTAATCTAAATTCAGCTTTCACCTGATCAAGAAAAAGAACAACATACTCACCCCGTCCAAACGTTCAAGCTGAGGCATGAGGTAGGAGACTTCCATGAGGTGCCTGGGGAAGTTATTACTAATAATATTAATTGTTGGCATAGGATAATATGATTACATCATCATAAAAACAATGTAAAATACAATACTAAAACTGGTATCAATTAAAAACAAAAGTAGAGGAGTAGATCACATGGGCCTTTGAGTCTGCTCCCCTGTTCAGTAAGATCATAACTGAAGTTCTACATCCATTCTACTTTCCCACCCTTAAATCATATCCCTTGATTCACAAAGTGTCCGCAAATCAATGATCTCTGTCTTGAATCAACAACTGAGTATCCTCAGGCCTCAGAGGTAGAAAATTCCAAAGAGTCACAGCACTTTGATTGAGGAAATATCTCACTTCAGTCTTATACAGCCAGCACCTAATCCTGAGACTATCAT